TTTTCGTTTTACAAAACTTGTGTTGTTCTTAAATCTATCACTCTTTCCCTTACCCCTTTCTTTCTTTTCCTCCTCGTGTAGGTGTGTGCCCTTCTGTGTATTAATAATTACCTTTTGTTTAATATAATTTTTTAGTGTACATTAAATAGTTTCATTCTAATTAGTGTAAACTTAAAAGGAAGATATTTTTTCTTAAATTGTGTGCGTTACTTATCTTAAGTGCCTGTTTAATCAATTTTCTCAAATAATCTACATTTCTCTATTTTCATTTCTTTGTTTCCCCTAAATTCCTTGTTATACTTTTTATAGCTCTCTAATATACCCTTTACCACCTTGTGCTATTAACTGCAAGAAAGCAAAAAGGAAAAGAAAAAAACAAACAAAAAACAAAAAATCCTGTAATTTCTCTTGTTTTGAATAAATTATTTTTAGTCTTCCCTTGTTAAAAGGTTGAGGGCCACTAATGTCATTTTTCTCCTTTCTTTTTTCATTTCTCTCCCCTCTAATAGTATTTGGAGCTGTTTTATGATTTTATTTTTGTTTAACCAACTTTTTAGGTCTTCTGCATAATTAATGGTGGTGGTCTTCCCTTCGTAAGATATGATAATTCTCGTTGGGAATCCCCATTGATAATTAACATTGTTCTGTCTCAGAATTAGTGTGCCATCAGAGAATGTCTTCCTTTTTTGTCTGGTTGGCCATGACAGGTCCTGGAATATTTTCAATGTTTTGAATTCTTCTGCTCATTTTTTGCTTCTTATGGCTCTCAGAATTTGCGACTTAATTTTTGAGGAGGCGCAGCATATCAATACATCTCTTGGGAGATGTTCTTGGACGCCATTAGGTTTGTTCACTCTGTAGCATTTTCCATTATGGAGATTCTGGGGTCCCATTCCACCTTCAGATGCTTAAAAAATTCCTCTATGTATGGTTCCAGAGTTTTTAGATTTATTTGTTCTGATACTCCTCTAATTCTTAAGTTGTTCCATCTTGACTGGTCCTCTACGTCTATAATTTCGTTCTCCATTTCAGCCATCTTTTTTTCCAGCGCCAGATGTTCTTCTTTGTGGACATTTTCCTTTTGTTCCAACCTGTTTAGTTTTTCTTCTATTCCTTGAAAACCTTGGTTGAGAGCCAACATTTCTTTCTTTATGTCTAGGGTATTAACTTGGATTTCTTCTCTAAAATTTCCAAATTGTCTGAGTAAATAGTCATATTAATTTCCTCCTTCTCTTGCCACTTGAATTTCTTCCACTTGTCCTTTATTGATCCCTTCCTCTGGTGGGATATTAGAGAGAAGAGATTCCTCCAGGTTTGTTTTATTACTTGATAGGTTTGGTGAAAAGAAGGAAATGCGTTTTTCTGTTTTATTTACAGGCTTTTTTTTTTTAGGTGCTTGCCGTTTTGTGTCTTTTTTGTAGCCATTTTTATTTTAATTTTAATTTATATTTTAGTTTAACTCTTTTTTTACTGGAGGTTATATTTTCTTTAGGCTAGTACTATCTTTGCTTTTAGAATAGTATCCTTTTGTGTCTTGTGTTTCTTGCTTCCCAACTTCTTCTCCTCCTCACTTTCACTCTCACCTTCACCTTTCTAGCCGTACAATTATGTTTTATTATTTTTTATTATTATTATTATTATTTCCTTTTTTTCCTTCCCTTTCCTTCCTATTCTGTTTCCTATTCTGTTGCGCAGAAAATTGCGCTCAGTAACAGGTATAGGGGAGAAGTGCAAGGGGTGTGACAGCAATGGAAAAAAAACTCAGACAATAACTAGAAGGAAAAGCACTAGAAGTAACAGAAGCCTCTGGGCAAATCCACTTAGCACACTACAGACCTTTTTGGTAGTCTGTTCCATGCTATGAGCAGAATTAACTTGATTTAAATAATCTTTAAATCACGTATTGCCCCTGTATGCAGCCATAGGCGTGCGCAGCCTTTTGCATTAGGGTGTGCACCCTAAAGAACAAACAGACACGCCACATGTATATGTATGTATATATATATACACATATACACACACATACACACATTGCTGTGTGTGTGATGTTAGTGTGCTGTGTGAGGGTGCTGTGTGTGTAAGAGTGCTGTGTGTCAGGGTGCTGTTAGTGTGATGTGTGTGTGAGGGTGCTGGTTGTGTGCTATGTGGGTGAGGGTGTTTGTGTGTGTGTTTGTGAGGGTGCTGTTAGTGTGCTGTGTGTGAGGGTGCTGGTAGTGTGCTATGTGTGTGTGAGGGTGTTTGTGTGTGTGTGTGTGTTTGTTAGGGTGCTGTGTGAGGGAGATGTGTGTGTGTGTGAGGGTGCTGTTTGTGTGATGTGTGTGTGTGAAGGTGCTGTTTGTGTGCTGTGTGGGTGTTGTGTGTTTGTGTGGGTGCTCTGTGTGTGTGTGTTTGTGAGGGTGCTGTTAGTGTGTTGTGTGTAAGGGTGCTGTGTTTGTAAGGGTGCTGTGTTTGTGTGTTTGTGAGTGTGCTGTTAGTGTACTGTGTGTGTGTGAGGGTGCTGTGTGTGTGTGTGAGGGTGAGGTATGTGTGTGAGGGTGCTGTATGTGTGTGGGTGCCATTTGTGTGCTGTATGTGTGTGGATGCTGTGTGTGTGAGGGTGCTATTTGTGTTCTGTATGTGTGTGCTGTGTGTGTGAGGGTGCTGTTTATGTGCTGTATGTGTGTGCTGTGTGTGTGAGAATGCGGTATGTGTGTGCTGTGTGTGTGTGGGTGCTGTTTGTGTGCTGTGTGTGATGGTACTGTTTGTGTGCTGTATGTTGGTGCTTTGTGTGTAAGGATGCTGTATGTGTGTGCTGTGTGTGTGTGTGTGCTGTGTGTGTGAGAGTGCTGTTTGTGTGCTGTATGTGTGTGTGTGCACTGTATGTTTGGGTGATTGTGGAGGTGGAGGGGGGCAGATTAGTTAATAACCCCCCTCCCTTCTTACCTTATGTAGGGAGGGGGGACTGTGCTGCTGCCATCCCTGGTGGTCCAGTGGAGAGTGAACGCTAGCCAGCGGGGCTAGAGTTTACTCTCGCGAGATCTGAGTGTTGCCATGGCAATACTCAGATCTCGCGAGAGAAACCCAGCGGAGCTGCTGGCTAGAGCTCCCTGGGTCCTCACCTACCTCCCTCCATGCTGCTGTGGGCCGGTGAGGTAGATCTTTGATCTCCCCACCGGCTCATGGAGGCTTAGAGCAGAGCCGGTGCTCGGATAGCGCCGGCTCTGCATGAGCCAACAGGGGAGATCCTGAGATCTCCCCTGCCGGTCTCAATCCATAGGCATGCCGCAGGGATTAGGGTGTGCCCAGGCACACCTGGCACATCCCGTGCGCACACCTATGTATGCAGCTCTCTATATTATCCCTATTTCATCTCTTCTTAGGGGTCCACTAATATTCAGGAGACCCAATGTTTGTACAAACCCCTGCAGAGTAAACATATAGTGTAACTAGACAGCCAGATTAATAGTAACTGGCACTTAGCTTGTGTTTTCTGTTGCTGTTTTCTCCTATTATCCATGTTTTATATTCATGTTGGATGTGCTCACATGGGTTAGCTCCCTTGTGTTTATCCATTGGTGTATCTGGCTGGCTGTGGCTTTATCCAGCGTACAGATAGCTCCCTATATCCCCCTACCTCTCCATTTTGTGCGGCACCCTGAGTGACACACCAGGTAAGTAGGGTTGTCTCCTCTGCTTTAGTCTGCTCCCTCTATGGCTCCCTCAGCCGCAATCCATGAGGACGCAGTAACACATGCTACGTCATCTCGCTCTGCCCCTAGATGTAGCCCAACTGTTCTGTGAGGACTGATGCTTTTTTTATTATTAAAAGTTGAATATATTAATTTTGTCTTCTTGGTGCTCAAAACAGCTAAAAACTCTATCAATAGTCAAACATTATTGTGTTGAAGTAGACTGTCATCTCAATTGCATAAAATAGTAGTTGTGCAAGAAAAAGATATACATAAACCTTTGTACAAAAATCAAAGTGAGGTCATAGCAAAAAGGAGAAAAAAGGGTCAGCGGTTTAGCATGTCATGGACAGTAACTCACGTTGATACATAGAGCCATAAAACAACTCACATTTTCTTGAGCCAATTACATTGCTCACTGATAACACTTGTGAGCACAATGGTCTTCCAACATCTTGACAGATGACTGCAGACAATCTCCTATAAAGAAAAAGGAACAGGAAATAAATGCATGTTATATTTATAGCAGAATAGATCAAATGCTCTGATTTAAATTCACAATATGCAGAAAAGAAAAATTGCACTTTGCAACTTGCAAGGAGCTGGACGAGGGCTCTGGCTTAAGATTGTTAGTCAACATAATGAATGGCAATTTACAATAACCTCTTTTTCTCTGCAGTGCTGAAAAACTGTACAAATTGTCATGCTTGTAATTCTGCCTGCATAATCCCAGCTAAACTGTGATTTTGTAACAAAAAATTATACCGCACCCAATAATTTTAGGTATAATTCATCACTTCATTTAATAATTCATTAATTTTGTAAATATAATAATATATGAGTATAGTTCATTAATTTTGCAGATTTGATAATATATACAAAAAAAAAGACAATATGTATAGTAGAAACAACGCATCCTGTGACAACCAATATTACTCCATGTAAATAAGTCCCTACAACATCCGACTTATAAATTATCAATGATACTAAACTGTATTAATATATCTGAAAGTCCAGATTACCATCCAAAAAAGCAAAAACATTTTTTTTTAAAAATATAAAAAATGAAAAAATAAGAAAAAAATAAGAAAAAAATATATAAAGAAATAATGTATATACAGTCCCAGTGTGTACACACTATAATATATGGGTGTATCTCACCACAATTTCTAAGGGTATGGGTCCTGTTTCAGGCAAAATCTCAGTATATGCACCAAGTTGATGAACTGGCCGCAGTACAGTAATATATCCCTGTGGTTGTTGCAAACTTCTTATTTCTCCTGGGTTGTATATACAGTATCTCCCTGTTGTCGTTAAGGTACCGGACTTCCTCTCTGTCTTTCGGTGTAGGGTCTTAGGCTGGGCTGCGCGTTCGGGACCTTAGAAGGCACTTCTAAGGTCCCGAGCGCGCAGCCCAGCTTAAGACCCTACACCGAAAGATGGAGAGGAAGTCCGGTACTTCTAAGGTCCCGAGCGCGCAGCCCAGCCTAAGACCCTACACCGAAAGACGGAGAGGAAGTCCGGTACCTTAACGACAACAGGGAGATACTGTATATACAACCCGGGAGAAATAAGAAGTTTGCAACAACCACAGGGATATATTACTGTACTGCGGCCAGTTCATCAACTTGGTGCATATACTGAGATTTTGCCTGAAACAGGACCCATACCCTTGGAAACACTTCCTGTAAAGAGTCATCTAATGTTTACGCTTTCTTTATTGAAAATTCTGTTTAATTTAGAATTTGTTATCTCGTGATCTCTTAATAGTTCACTAAATCCCGCAGGAGCCTCCTGTATGTAGTTAAAGTTTAATTAACAGAGCAGGAGTTAAAAACTTTTAAAGTAAGTTACATCTGATTGAAAATGAAACCATTTATTTTCATGCACACTGTATGAGTCAAAACTAGGGCTCCATAAGCAGAAACAAAAGTGTTGTAATTTCTAAATGAATTGAGCAGTAAGACTTCAGAGGCATTATCTATATACAAAAACTGATTAATGAAGCTAAAGTTGTTTTGGTGACTATAGTGTTCCTTTAATGTAAACTTCAACTGTGACAAAAAAACAAAACATGTTTTGAATACAACCAGGAATAAAGCACTACAAATTATTGTTGTTGTTATTATTATTATTATTATTATTACTCCTAACCTCATTTGACGGAGGCAATTGTACATGTTCTGACCAAAACAAAACCTGGAATTTGAGCTACATGTCTGTTCTTTCATATTAAGTGTAAACACACTTATTATATATAATTTTGTTCAAGAGAAACAGGGCTTTCATTTCACATCAACTTTAACTATCAATTTAATATGAATAAAATCTAAATAAAGTGTAAGAAATTAAGACATCTTAATTTCTTAGTTCTACATAACATTTTAACTGTGAAGTTCATAATACTCTTAGTTTTTACTGCAATAAAATACACATATTTGTGTTTATGGATTACTCACGAGCCACCAGTACAACAGTATCGTGTATATATTTTATGTGGTTGCAGGAAGTTACAGGGTCAAAAATAGGGCTTTCCCCTTTTCAGTTTATACACACTGACATTTGCCTGATTTTGAGACCATATGGCTGTCCAGTCATGAAAATATCCTCTTGAGACTATATGGCAGCTCAGGAATGAAAATTACTTTCATCGTGGCATACCATTTGTGAAAAATAGACAACTCAGGGTATTCAAAATGGGTTATGTCCAATTTTTTTTACTAGCCACTCGGCCACAAACTCTGGCCAAAGTTGTTAAATTCTCTGGTATTTCTGTCTGGGTTATCAGACAAGACTCCCAATATATAATTAACAAAATAATATAATTATTTATAAGTAATTTATAAAATATATTTAGAATTAAATTTTACATATAGAATTTCATTCTAAGTGTATATATTATTTGTGCAAAATTATATTATTTATTAGTTGGAGGATCTGCCTGGGGCTCAAGCAGTCCCCTTGCAGGCAATCTGTTAATCACACTGATCCAAGTCATGTGATCGAAGTGTCATTGCAATCACATGACTCGGATTGGCAGGATTGACTGCAGGGGAACTGCCTGGGTCAGGAGAGTAAGTATACAGACTGAACGGAGGGCTTACTTGTTTAGACATGCTGTGCTGCCCTAGCGGTTTTTAAGCCCTCCTTTTGTAGAATGGCATAGCACGCCCTAATGTCAGGAAGGGGTTAAAGGGGAGCAATTGTTCAAGATTTTTTTCTCTTTGTTGTTAACATGGACACCGTAAGCAGTCTGAACCATTCTATACATTGTCCAATTTAGTGCTGCATCCTAATATTTCATAATTTTATTGTGGTGGCACTCTCTTTGTTATGAAAATATCCTTTCATTACAAATCTCTTAAAGAATGCTTGAAAGTGAGTAGAGTTGGGTCATGTCCAGTTTGTGATAAGTTAACATAATAGAGAGAACACATAAGCAATGGTAATAATCTTCAAGTAGAGAGGTTGATATCAGGCCCGGACTGGCCATCGGGCACACCGGGCAAAGGCCCGGTGGGCCGCGGTGGCCATGGGCCGAGGCCGGCAGGGGAGGTCCCAGCAGGCCCGGACTGGCCATCGGGCACACCGGGCAAATGCCCGGTGGGCCGCGGTGGCCATGGGCCGAGGCCAGCAGGGGAGGTCCCAGGATCTCCCCCACCGGTCAATGCAGGGTCGGCACTCTCCTAGCGCCGGCCCCGCTGTTTGCCATGACGGGCCGGTGGGGAGATCAAAGCTCTCCCTCACCGGCCCAAATGCGGCCACCGGCGGGGAGGGAGGGAGACAGCCAGCCAACCAGCCAGGCTGGAGAGAGGACCCGGCGGAGCTCTAACTTGCGGCTCCGCCGGGTTCCTCTCGCGAGATCTGGCGCGTTGCCATGGCAACGACCGGATCTCGCGAGAATGAACTCTAGCCTCACAGGCTAGAGTTCACTCACCCCCGAGGACCACCAGGGAACCCCGCCACCCCGCCTGCCGGTCCCCCCCTCCCAGGCTAAAGGTAAGAAGGGAGGGGGGGACACATAATGCCTGTTTTTTGTTTTGGTTTATTTACACCCCCCCCAAACACACACACAATAAAATTTATACAGCACTCTCACACACAGCACTCTCACACACAGCACTCTCACACCCATCACACACAGCACTCTCTCACACAGCACTCTCACACCTATCACACACAGCACTCTCTCACACAGCACTCTCACACCTATCACACACAGCACTCTTATACACAGCACTCACAGCACTCTTTCACACAGCACTGTCTCACACAGCACTCTTTCACACCTATCACACACAGCACTCTCATACACAGCACTCTCACACACAGCACTCTCTCACACCCATCACACACAGCACTCTCACACACAGCACTCTCACACACAGCACTCTCTCACACCCATCACACACAGCACACTCACACACAGCACTCTCACACCCATCACTCACGGCACTCTCACACACATCACACACACTGCACCCCTCACACACACACATACTGCACCCCTCACATGCACACAGAACCCCCCCAACACACTGCACCACACACATACAAAATACTTCCAAATATATATATATATATATATATATACACACACACACACACACACACTCTGGATCCCCTATACACACACTAGATTCCTTGTAAGCAAACACATACTACACCTCTAAACACACACTACATCACCTATACACACACACACACACACATACACTATAGCCTGTATGCACACACTTGCTATATCCCCAATACACACATTCTCTACAGCCCATAGCCACATGTGCATCACATTACACCACAAACACAACACGATTAAAACCAACCTTATTACACAATACCACACCACGACCAGCTCATTCTACACACACGCAATACCACAAGCAGGCTCCAAACACATGCACAATACTCTTTCCTGGCCCTTTTGTCTCCTGGTTTATAGAGACACCAGAGACAAGTTGCAAGGAAACACAGCGCAAGCATGTTATTAGATTTGCTTGCACTGTGCAGAACAAATACAGGACTTTTTTCTCATGCTAGAGCTCTTTAGCAGAGCTCTGCGCATGGTCTGCGCAAAAGAAAAGTAAAACAAGGATTAGTTAGATTAAAAACAAAAGAAGGAATGTATGTAGAAGAGGATAAAGGTCTAGCTGACTGCCTCAATGAATATTTTTGTTCTGTATTTACAGAAGAAAATGAAGGAAAGGGACCTCAGTTGAGAAAAAGGATAAATGAGTCATTTATTACACGAGTTTACAGAGGAAGAGGTTCTATTTCAACTGTCAAAAGTAAAGACAAATAAGTCAATGGGACCTGATGGAATACACCCAAAGCTATTAAAAGAGCTTAGTGGTGTACTAGCAAAACCATTAACAGATTTATTTAACCAATCATTAACAGGAGTAGTCCCAGAAGATTGGAAGTTAGCGAATGTTGTACCCATTCACAAGAAAGGTAATAGGGAGGAGTCGGGCAACTATAGGCCAGTAAGCCTTACTTCAGTAGTGGGAAAAGTGATGGAAACCATGTTAAAGGATAGGATTGTTGAACATCTAAAAACACATGGATTTCAAGATCAGAGACAACATGGGTTTACTTCAGGGAGATCATGCCAAACTAATCTTATTGATTTTTGATTGGGTAACTAAAATTATAGATCAGGGTGGTGCAGTAGACATTGCTTACCTAGATTTCAGTAAGGCTTTTGACACTGTTGCACATAGAAGGCTTATCAATAAACTGCAATCTTTAAGTTTAGATTCAAATATTGTTGAATGGGTAAGGCAGTGGCTGAGTGACAGACAACAGAGGGTTGTAGTTAATGGAATATATTCAAAGCTTGGACTTGTCACCAGTGGGGTACCTCAGGGATCTGTACTTGGACCCATTCTCTTTAATATTTTATTAGTGATATTGCAGAAGGTCTTGATGGTAAGGTATGTCTTTTTGCTGATGATACTAAGATATGTAACAGGGTTGATGTTCCAGGAGGGATAAGCCAAATGGCAAATGATTTAGGTAAACTAGAAAATGGTCAGAATTGTGGCAACTGACATTTAATGTGGATAAGTGCAAGATAATGCATCTTGGATGTAAAAACCCAAGGCAGAGTACAGAATATTTGATAGAGTCCTAACCTCAACATATGAGGAAAGGGATTTAGGGGTGATTATTTCTGATGACTTAAAGGTAGGCAGACAATGTAATAGAGCAGCAGGAAATGCTAGGAGAATGCTTGGTTGTATAGGGAGAGGTATTAGCAGTAGAAAGAGGGAAGTGCTCATGCCATTGTACAGAACACTGGTGAGACCTCACTTGGAGTATTGTACACAGTACTGGAGACCGTATCTTCAGAAGGATATTGATACTTTAGATAAAGTTCAGAGAAGGGCTACTAAACTGGTTCAAGGATTGCGGGATAAAACTTACCAGGAAAGGTTAAAG